GGAAAGAAGGAGGAGAGATAAGGACGATAGAGATGGGAAAGAAGGAGGAGAGATAAGGACGATAGAGATGGGAAAGAAGGAGGAGAGATAAGGACGATAGAGATGGGAAAGAAGGAGCAAACCACAGCGGACAGGCCACCAAACACGTGACTAAAACAAAAATTAAATCCAACCCGAGTTCAGAACGCCCTGACGGGATTCAAACCACAGCCATCCGCTACATAGAGTCTAGTCTAGCATGATACCAAGTAAGCTAACGGTGCGCCCAAAAATTTGAACACAACATTTTTTTGAACTCCGAATGAAAGGATTCGAAGTTACTTTTGAGTCAATTCAAAACGTCCTTTTAATGGAACACTGTGCACGGGAGCATGTTTGTTTTGATGGGGTATGCCATAAAAGCAATAATAGACCTACACTTTCAACAAGTTAATTTGAAATTCAGTGGAAATATTTTTTTTTTTTTATAGTAGAGGGTTTTACGGCGCTCGCAACTGCATAAGGTCATATGAGCGCTATTCAGTGGAAAGTAAGAAAATGAAAAATCGCAGTTTATTGTAATTATTTAAATACAATATCAAAGCAAACAGGGTGTGTTTGTCGCGGAAGTAAAACATTGACAGTAGACAATGTGGGTTTAAAAACGTGCACTTCTGAGACGAACCAGGGGCTTTTATTTTCTTTGTTCAGCTAAAGAGATCAGCACAGTGTCTTGCTTTCACTGTCACCCATGCCAAAGCTTCCTCGGGCCTCTCGTCTGTTCCGCTGTTGCTGTTCCCAGCGATCTCGTTAGTGCTGCTTTCTGTTTCTTCCATCTTCCATTATATAAGAATATTATATTGTCTTTGTCGCCTGCTGCTCTGTGGTGATTGCTTCGCTGGGTTTGTCGTCTGTTGTTTTTTTTTCGGTGGAGTTTTCTTTGCATCACTTCTTTACCCACCAAAGAGCTTTTTATAGAGATATTGTGTGTTGGCATTTTCTCCAAATCCCTCTGGGCTTTTATCGTAATTGCTGTCGGCCTCCCAGCTCTGTCTGCAGGGCTCGAATGATGGCATCATAAAAGCTTTCCAAGGTTACTCTCGAAATATCCGCCGGTTTGTGTCCCCCTCCCCCACACTTTCGTCTCCCCCCCCTCCCTCTCTCCCTTCCCCCCTTCTCTCTCTCTCTCTCTTTCTCTCTC